AAATTGGCAGACCCCATAGTCAGTGTCCTCGCAGACAACCGCACCATGCGTGTTGAGGACTATGTAGAGGGAGTCCAGGCGTACTTTCGCCTAGAGAAGGATGGGAAGGTGGAGAAAGTTCTCCACTCCCTGACTCTCCTCGTACAGGATGACCTTCCCTTCGACGTGGTATTGGGAATGGATTGGGGAGAGGCAGACGGGGCCACACTCCATTTGAGGGAGCATGAGTGTAGGCTCCCCAGTCCGTCAGGTGAGGTTAAGACTGCCCGCCTGTTTCATGTGTCAGGTGTAGACAACACGCTGGCACATTGCTGTCTCAGTGCTCCCGCGTTCGCTCGGTTAGTGAAAAAGGAGCAATTAGAGGAGCAGGTCTTTGTAGTGTATGTTAGACCTGTCACCGAGGGCAAGGAAGAGATAAGTTCCACGGATCCAACCATAGCCAAGTTGCTGGAAGGGTTCAAAGACTTGACCGAGCCGCCGACAGGAGCAGTGTCGCGACCCATCCAGCACAGGATAGAGATAGAACCTGGCAGTAGAACTCCTAAGGGTGCAGTTTACAGGATGTCCCCTAGAGAGTTAGAGGAGTTGCGCGAGCAATTAGACGAGCTCCTCGAGAAAGGTTGGATCAGGCCCTGTTCGTCTCCTTTTGGAGCACCTGTTTTGTTCGTCCCCAAGAAGGAAGGAGAGATGAGAATGTGTATAGACTATAGGGGTTTGAATGCGATCACTGTGAAGAATGCGGAGCCACTGCCCATGATAGACGATCTTCTAGATCGGGTGCAGGGTTGTAGGTATTTCACTAAGATTGATTTGAAGTCCGGTTATCATCAGATAGAAGTCCACCCTGATGATCAGTACAAGACTGCCTTCCGGACTAGGTATGGGCACTATGAGTTCATAGTGATGCCCTTTGGACTAACCCACGCGCCAGCTACATTTCAGCGTTGTATGAATGATCTATTTAGACCCTAGTTAAATAAGTTTGTAGTGGTTTATTTAGATGATATTTTAGTTTTTAGTAAGACCCTCCAGGAGCATCAGGGTCATCTGAGGCAGGTCTTGGAGAAGCTACGAGAGGCTAACTTCAAGATCAACGCGAAGAAGTGTGAGTGGGCCAAGACACAAGTCTTGTACTTGGGCCACGTATTAGACGGAGATGGCATTAGGCTAGAGGACAGTAAGCCGCTCCCTTGCGCAGGTTGCTAAAGAAAGAGGCAATCTGGCAATGGGACAAAGACTGTACGTCTGCGCTCAAGAAGCTAAAGTGCGCGTTAATGGAGTACCCTATCCTCAAAGTAGCAGATCCGTCCTTGCCATTTGTTGTCACCACGGACGCAAGTCAATATGGGATAGGCGCCGTGTTGCAGTAAGATGACGACAATGGCTATAGACCCGTAGAGTTCATGTCGGCGAGGATGCCCTGTGAGAAGGTCGCTACCTCCACGTACGAGAGAGAACTCTACGCTCTCAGGCAGGCTTTAGACCATTGGAAGCACTATCTACTTGGGAGGCACTTCAAAGTGTATTCTGACCATGAAACGCTTAGATGGTTAAAGACTCAGGCCAAAATGACACCTAAGCTAACTAGGTGGGCCGCAGAGATAAACCAATATGACTTTGAGCTTAAGCCAGTGAAGGGCAAGTACAACGTAGTTGCGGATGCTCTGAGTAGAAGATCAGACTACTTTGGAGCCGTAGTACACTATCTGGATATAGGGAGAGACCTGCAGGAGAAAGTGAAGCAAGCGTATGCACAGGACCCTATCTATAGCGACCTCCTAAAGAGAGTTAGGGAGGCCCCAGAGACTGAACCAGATTACCGCACTACAGATGGGTTGTTGTTTGAGAAGACTAATGTGTTTGACCGCCTGTGCATCCCCAACAACGAAGAGATCCGCAGTTTGATCTTAGGGGAATGCCACGATACTGAGGGACATTTCGGTTGGCAAAAGACTCTAGCCAACCTGATGCGTGCGTATACCTGGCCAGGGATGAAGAATGATTGCATAGAGTATGTCCACAGTTGCGAAGTATGCCAGCGTAATAAGACTACCACACGCGCACCCCTTGGTCTTCTCAGACCCTTGCCTATTCCGGATCAGCCGGGAGACTCAGTGTCCATAGACTTTATGGACACCCAAGTTAAGAGTAGACATGGCAAAAGTCAAGTCATGGTCATAGTTGACCAGTTTAGTAAGTACGCAGTTTTTGTTCCTTTGCCCTCATAGGCACGTACAGACTTAGTGATACAAAAGTTCTTTGACTTTTGGGTTAGTGAGAATGGAATCCCATTGTCAATAGTCAGCGATAGAGACAGTCGCTTTACCAGCCAGAACTGGCAAGAACTCATGAGAGTGTACGGATCCAAGTTGTTAATGTCATCTGGCCGTCATCCAGAGACCAACGGCCAGACAGAACAGATAAACAAGATCCTACAGCAAGTTCTGCGCATGTACATTAGACCAGACCAGATCAACTGGGATGAGATGTTGCCTAAGGTAGCTAGTGCCTACAACAACAGCGTACATCTATCCACCTGCCGCACTCCCAATGAGCTGCACAAGTCCT